TCAATTATTAAACTGTTCTTATCTCAACCCAGGAGTGGTTTGTTTTCACTCTTACTCCTCCGATTCTTTTCCCCATCCCATCGGGGTAGGGGGAGTGAGCGAGCAGCTGCATGGTGCTTAGTTGCTGGCTGTGGCTAAACCACGACAGCAGCTTTAAGGGAAACACAGCTTTTGGGACAGCTGCCTTTCAGAGGTATGGGTCAATACCTCACAGAGCACTACAGAGAGTTCAAACAAACCACCACCAAGTATATTACAGCTTCAGCCTCTAGGAATAGCTGCAGAGAGCAGCAGCATACCAAGCACAGGCATAGGGCAAGACTAGCTTGCTCATTCTCTTGAAAGGGATAGTAGACCACAACTCAGAGCGAGAGCAACCACCACATTATCAGAGGGAGTTCAGTCTGAGCCAGTTGAAGAACAAAACAGTAAAAAGGAGGAACGTTTTGCCAGGCCAGTGCAAAACTCTTCATGAGACAGAAAGTCCCAGGGGTTCTTCTATACAAAGACAGAATTAGTCTTCTGGCCTAGCCAGCAGTTTTTGAGGATGATGTTTGGAAGATAAGCTTCATGCACTGTGTAAGCCTCAAGCCTGTGATGGTCGCTGGTAGATTTTGAAAACTCTAGTTATTGCTGATCCGACTTTAAATTACCAAGCCCTTTTCTTTCATGCACACAGAAAAACATGCGATCGGTAACAGACAAGAGAAATATCCTTCCAGGGCATCTAAAGTTTCTTTAGAAATTTCCTCACACATTGTAATTATGCCAATTACAGAAACTCACCATTTTCATCTATGAACACGTGCATTGCATCCACGGATAGCTCATCTTGCACAGACGCCTCAGGTCCACTTATTACTTGCAAGACAGAACTGTCTTGCTGAGAAGTTACCCGGTAGATTATCTGCCTTTGCCTGTTGCCCTGGTAACTTGACACAAAAATGTTTCAAAACTACTATGAGGAACTTTTTTCTTGTTCTCAATAAAACAAAAAGAAAGAGAGGTTAATTAAAAGTTTATGTCATTTCTACTCAGTGAAACAAAACAGCTTACATCATATCTTTGAAGTACAAAATTGTAAAGTAAACTGGCCTTACAGTGCTGCAAATTTGGCAGACTCTGGTAGCCCCGGACTAGTACTAGCACGATCTTGGCTTTGTACGTCTGATCTTTCCTGTTTAGGAAGTTGCTCACAGTGCTTTTCTGTTCCCACCATTTCTTCTTTTCTCTCCGTCATCTGGCTATCTGGAAAACAGGGCAGTGAAGTGGAGCCACTCTCCGTAGATGACTGTCAAGAGTTTCATTCATTAACTACTGAACGAGAGCATCTAAAAGAGAAAAGCTAAAACACTGCAGTAATTATTAGTTTTATGGAAAACATTAAAATTACTTAAAACATTTACCATCACAGAAATCTGGATGAGGAGGTACTCCGACTCAAGGAGGCTGCGTGAATGGGTTGTTTCAAGAACAGGCCATGTGAAGCAAAGGACAAACGAGAGAGAATTTCTGCTTTGCTTCTCCTATTATTTCAGCAGGAAGCAAACCGTCCCTAACCTAGAATGGTAAGAGGCTGCTTCCCTGGGGGCCGTAATTTGTTCCCAAGCTGTGTCTACTGGCAGCAGAAAAGCAGAAGCACTGGCCCATTCCCCTTTTACAAAAGGGAAAGCAGCACCTTCAAAAGAAACAGAGCTCTTGGATGGGAAAGCAGGTAGCTGCCTAATCCCTCTTCCCCACTGGCCACACATCTGATGCAGGACAAAGGACAAACTGGCTAAACAATTTCACAGTAGATTTTCCTATGCTTGGAAAATACAGAACTATAGATTTTAAAATATACATGATGGACCTGTCCGATTTCTACTACTCTGAATACCAATTTGAATACCAATTATATTTATATTACCTCTCTATATGTCATTTACTTACATATATGTGTACAACTTTCAAGCAATAGCCTCCTTTAGTTACTAAAATTCACTCTGAATAGTGAAACATTGTGCAACCCTGCTTTGACTGTAAACTAAAGAAAATTAGCTGTTAGGATTTTAAAGTGAAACTAAGACAGTGATTTCATCACCATCATGTGCAGTCACACAGTTAAATGCTTTAAATGAAGAAAAAAAAAAGTTTTTTGTGGTGCTTGTTGGAGATGCTTCAGTGAGTCCTGCAGCTTCTTGCACTAAGCAAGGTGTACTGAGATGTACTTACCCAGACTTCTTGCAATACCTGCTGTTTAAACACCTTAGAAATTTAATCAAGAAAAAAACACAGAAATATGCCCCACAAAAAAATCCATTTGTTAAACCCTATTTCCTACCAACAGAATTACCATCCTAACCTGCAAGAGTCACCAGTCAAGAAATAGCAGTGTCATAGCTAAGATGGTCTAAGGATAAAACAGATTCAAGGCCTGTAGAGAGATGTAATATCTTTATTAGGCCAACTGATATAATTGAAAAAAGCAAACAAGCTTTTGTATATGCAGACCTTTCAGATCATGTCTTTTTTTCCTCCAGCCATATCAACTGATCTAATAACATATTACTTCTACAAACAAAACTACCTCCAGGAGTTAAGACATCTCTACACCAGTCTCAATTCACAGGCCACACCCCTCTAATAACGTAAAGCCTCAGACACTCACACATAACCACTTCTCACTGCAGACACTTCACGCTTACTTTTGCGGGGGGATCCAAGAGCATAAGGACAACTAGAATTGTACCACCACATCTTGTCCCAGCAGGTCTCAGCCCTTAATGTGAAGCACAAGCAGCACCAAGCCTGAAGAATCTCACTAAGGGCCCCAGACACTCACCAGCCAGGGTACCAGAAGCAAGAGGGAATGAGCAGCAGAGATAAAGGCACTGTGTAACTCTTGCTTGGAACAGCAGCATTCCTTCAGCTTCCACAAGGAAGAAAGAGAAGAATCTCACTACAACACTGCCAACGTTCTGTCTCCTGCTCTCCTTCTGTAGCACACGACGACCCAGGATCCTGACTTCTTGTGCAATAAATACAATGACCAGAAGTTTGGTTTAGGGAAGTCTTTTGTACCTGTTGTGCATGGAGACAAAATTCTTTTTTCCTTTTTTTTCCTTTCCTAATTAAAGATTTCCTAATTTTTTTTCCTTTCCTAATTAAAGATTTAAACTCCTTCTTAAGCTGAAACTGTGCCTTATTTAACTGCGGCATTACTGAAGCATCCCCTTAATGATCTAACTGTACCTGAGGGAGGTGACGGAGCCATAGATACCTAATCGAAATCACCTTCCTAAAGGCTTGGGCTGTTCAAGATGTACGAATAATTGATACAGATCAGAAACTGTGGTTTTAATAATCTAATTGGTCCCATATTGCCCAAAACTAGCTCTAGGGCTGGAACAATTAAAAAGATTTTTTAATTTGATCATCTAGTGGTTTTAGAAAATGCCTCTCTCTTTTCCATTCCAAACCACAAGCCTTGCAGACTTCTTTTCCCTGCAGTGGTAGAGAGTCATAATAATAAAAACATAAACTTACTGCTTCTTACAGATTTTATACGCCAATCAGACAACACCGTGGTGATGAGTACTTCCAGCACTGGAAAGGTGAGCCATGATGGGTTTGTGACTGGTTTTCATGATTATTACTCATTTTCTTCTGAGCAACTTAACACCTTCAGTATTTAAATGGAGATAGAGGTGTCTAGACTAGGAGTGTTCTGCCAGGGTATGTAATCAGCTCCACATCACCAAACGCTCCTTGCATGGAAATTGTGCTGGCAAAGCTCCAGTTACTAGGAAAAACCATCTCCAAGAGCAAGAGAAGAGTAAAAAGCACAACATGGCAGCGTACCTGCACCTTCCCTGCAGCCTCCTACCAGAGTCATCTACCCCGAGCCACCACTCCATGTGTCTCTGGTATACGCATGGCTGGGCTCACAGAGCCCCAAGCTCAGACCCAGGCAAAACAAGTAACTTCATAATTTATCTGAAATTATATGCTACATGACTCATGTGAGGCATAACTATCAGGATTCATGGCTAAGTCAGGCTTGGTAATGGGTGATTCAGAAGATTCCTGCACAAAAAAACCCAAGTTTTGGTCTGTACACCATTTTCATATTTTGGCTGAGCACAAATGCCGTTGCACTACCAAAATTTCCTTTGCCATGTAACTTTTTCATTTGTGGAACAGATTTTAGGTATCCCAAATCATCTTTGTAGACAAACCTTTGGTCCACACTGGGAGGAGGCTGACAACAGTTAAAATGGAGCAGCCTTTGTAAATATAATAATAATCATGATAACCAACTGTCAGTGTGTCTCAACTTTAAAGTTGCCTCATTATTAGGTAATTAGAATGGTATTTTATTGCTCTGTAACTTTTCTCAAAAATATTTTTACTATTTTGTGCCCTCTCTCTAGAGTGTCCCAGACACCTTTTACTTGTATATCCCTACCCCAATCTCCCAACTCACTCCTGTAAGTTAAAATGCCACTGTTATCATAATTTCAAATGCCATCTGGTTTGAAATCTGGTCAAGCAGAATTAAGCTAATTAAGCCTGAGTCTCTTCTGTTCATTAATTGCTCTGCTACAGAACTTACTTCCTTCCACAAGACTACAGTCCAAAATAGAAAGTTTCACTTTAAAATATATTTGTTGCCCATCCAGCCACAGAGATAATTGATTTCAAACTGCTCTATGCTCTTGTTAGCACGAGCATGAAACAAAACCTCTGTGAATTGTCAACTGTCCCATTCACATCTCTGGAGAATATATCCTAAGGACATTCCCAAGCCTTTCTTCACCAACTTTAGCAGAAACATCTATCTTGTGTACTTTATTCTCAACCCAAGTTTGCCTATTATGCCACAAAAACATTAAAAGAAAAATCTGACATTAAAGCTGGTCACCCACCAAACAATGGGAGTGTGCAGGGAACCTGACACAGTCTAAGAATTGCTAAAAAAATTCAACATGGGCATTGAAGAAGCACCTGGGATCTTCCATTAATCAGGATTACCACATTAAATCCTGAGACAATAGGAAAAACTAACGATACTCACTGTACCTATTACAGGACAGGGAGCCTTAAGCACAGAAGTGACTTGCTCAAAACAATTTCCTAGGCCAGCAGCAGAGCTGGGAATAAAATCAAGGTTTTTGAGGTCTGAGGTAAGCAGTCTAATCATTATACCTAACAACTATGCCAGAATACAGACCTCTGAAATAACCTCATTGTTTCTTTACAGGTGTCAGCCTTGTCATCAAACATACTATTACCTCTCCGATTTAAAGACTAAAACTTTAAAATCTCAACCTGTCAAGGCTTACATGTCAGGTATCAGATTTAGAAAACTGACTTCTGTACCCCATTTCCTCCCCATCCAAAGAGGGGCATCAAATGCCACATGGTCCCTCACTGGCATGAGGGTCAGGGATGGCACGCAGCTGCCCTGAGAGAAGAGCCAGCACCTGGTAGGGCTTTGTGTCCTAGGTGCTACCTGCCTGCCAGCAAACTCCCCTGCTGTTGCCTCCCACCAGGGCTGTCATTTGGGCTGGTGACTCAATGCACAAGATCCCTCCTGCCCATGATTATATGGCAGGCGATAGCCCTCTTTCAGGGAATGCAGGGGGAAGAAAACCTGAGGAGTCTAAAAATACCCACAGGAGTATGTTTCAGTTTTTTATAGGAGAAGGGTAATTGCTTGGGATCCAGAAGAACTCACTTGAGGTTGTGGTTTGTGCACTGCCCAGAATGATGAGTACCTTTTCTAAAAAGAGCCTGCAAAACATCTAAATTCAGGCCACGCAGTCCTGGTTTAGGTTCTCCTGTGCTGGTCCCCACCACTCCCATGGTGGGCTTTGCTCCCTGGATAACACTGCCTGTCCTAGATTACAAGCCAGCTGTGCCAGAGGGGACATACATGAGTTTTTGCCCTGCATATGTCTGATACACAGCTGCTCTTACTCAGCTCCAGACATGTCAGAGAGACCCAAAGCAGCCAATAAATCCAGCTTCCCTTACGCTTCTCAGACCGAAGACAATTTGCAGTTGCCCTCCAACAGGCTTTCAATTATGTGGGTGGTGCAAGTTTGATTCAAAACTCAAAGGACACTGGCCTGACAGTCATTTTTAGCAACAGTGTCAGTGGTACTTTCTCACGATCTAGAAGAGGTGGGGTGGCAACAGAACAGCTCTTAGCAGCTTTTTTTTTTACGTCCCGTATTTTAACACATTAAATCTGGCATCCTTGGTAGCGTAAAGCAAGGCTTTAATTTTCTTGTACTGCATTTTACTGAGCTGTCTACTGGCAAAGGCTTACGTGGTCAGGACGATCTCTCTTCTTTTTCCACTCACAAGTACTGTGAGGGAGCACCCGTAACAAAGACCCATCCATGACATTCACTCACTTGCAAGACTGTTCAGTGAGCACATTTCCTCGCCTTCTCCAAATTATGCACAATGTCATCTTTCTTGCACACAGTTCTGAATATCCAGCTTTCCAGGAATCTGCCAAGTTTCTCACATTGCCTAATAAACACCTTTATGGGGTGCATTTCATGCTCATTTTGACCAGGCATCTATTATAGCTTTGCCCAATTAGGTGGTTTACAAGGTTAAAAGAACAAAAAACAAAACAAAACCAACCTCCTCCCTCAAAACAACTGGTGCATAGCTTGACTTGCTCTGTATTCCCCACCCCCCCCATCCCACACATTGTTTTTTTTGAACAACCACTTTAATGTGGGAATAATGTTTATTCACATCTGTTCTAAGATGCTATTTTGTTAAAGCATATTTGTAATTGTGAGGCTGTAAACAGATTAGAGGCTTTCTCATTCCTAAAATCCAGTCCTATGGTGGGGAAGCTGCCAGTAATGACAGTAATTTATTTTAGCAAACAGCACGTTCTGACCAGGCTAGAAAACAAAGCCTACTTGCTCTTAAAAATAACTGCCTTTGAACTACCTCTCCCTAGCTTAAAGAGTTCTGATTGAATCTCCTTTTTCCCACAGCGCCGGTCCGAGGTGCAGGAGACACCTTGCAGCGACAGGAGCCACTGCCACCATCCCTGTTCCTGCAGGGCACCCCTCTTCGCCACCCCGCTCCTTTCCCAGGGTGACACTTGCTGGGCCCATGAGAGAAACAAGCAGAGCCGCTTAATTATACATGTATGCAGCTCAACTTCACCATCTCACAAATATACAGACTTAAGAAAATAGGAAAGTAGGAAATTCAGTCCAGGTTGCTTTAAGTAACAGCTTGGTTTGAGGGAAGAGAGAAATCCTACTGCCTCCTCAGGATCTTGAATTCCATTAAGAATCTCATTTGCCAGATCTAAAGCACAACAACTACACACACATTAATCAAGTTTCAGTTTGTTGGGGCTTTTTGTCACTGTGGAATCTATGAGTCTGATTTATTCTGATGACCCATTGCTTTCTTTTATGCAGCAATCTTCCCTACTCATATTATCCGAGGGTACATGACTGAAAGCGCTTTGCAGATTAGCTGCACTTCTTTTTTTCAAAACTTACCTCTGAAACTTTTATCTCTTCTCTTTTCCAGCTAAGTGACATCACACAGAAGTCAAATTCTTTTGTAAATACGTCTTTTTATGGTTGAGGAGTAGCAAGGATCGCAAACTGCTTTCCATGACCCTCGTTTTGTTGCGTGCTGTTGCACAAGGAGGCGACCCTGCACCCGACCCCCTGCACTCCAGGGACCCAGAGGGGCTCTCTGGGCTCGACAGTGGATCAGCTGAGCAGGTTCCGGTGAAAAGCAGGGCTTGCTCAGCATGCGTCTTAGGAAACCAGGGAGTATGGATGGGAGCCAGCCGGGCAGGCTGATAAACTCGATAGAGCAGAAACTGCTTTGCAGAACAAACAGTCTGAGAAGGTGGGAGAGATGGGTGAGATAGACCAGAAGAGAGGCACCAGGCCTAGGAGGTGCAAAATTTGACTAGGGAATGGAGAGGCAGGTAAGTACCCAAGAAGTGAATGCAAGCTGTGGGGAGGCAACAGCTTTAGGCAAGCTCAAGAGAGTGGAAAAGGCTGGAAAAGCAGCAGCGCGGACTGCTAGGAAGAACAGAGGGAAAGATGAGAAACAAGCAGTATGAAGAGGAAGGCAAATAAGGAGGTCGCACAGGAGGGACGTGGAGTGACTAAACCAAGGAGGGAGGAAAAGGGGAAGAGAAGACACAGATTAGAAATATAAAGTGGAAGGAAAAAAGGACACAAGGGAAAGATGGAATGAGATATGCTAATATAATTGATAGGACAGATAAAGGAAAGAGTTAGGAAAGGCAGAGTGAAACATAAACATGTAGATGACACATTGAGAATATAAAACTACCTACTTAATTTTTTTTAAAACAAGATAAAAGTATGAATTTCACATTTGTTTTTAAAAAAGCTGACAAACTTTGAAAACAGCTGTGCATTTTTCACTTAATGGAAGGTTCTTGTGGGAAGAAGCAGGGGAAGCAGAGACTTCCTAGAGCCTGTTTATGGACAGGGATATTGTTGCAAAACAGGAGCACCAAGCTGTTCTGCTGAGTGCCATTAAGTTTCTTACCTTCCATGCAAAATAGGTATTGAGACTGCATCTTCTTAGGCTCTTAGAACAGTTTATTATAGGATCTAAGGTAAACCAAACATTTTGGAAAAGGGGAAGATAAGGGTTGTCTTATTTCACTTTGGCCCAGATCTTCTAAACCGATTGCACCAACCACTTGGCAAGTACCCTGAGATTGCACCTGCCTTCACTGCACTGTAACTCACATCCTCACAAAACAGTCCTGCCAGTTTTGCCTACAGAGCTGCAAAAGACACTACAAACAATACTCCTTCCTAACAGAAAGGGGTCACAGAGTTAGGTGACAGTAATGAGAATGCTGATTAGAACCAGATATTTCTATGTAAGAGCTATAAATTGGATTGCATATAGGTTTTTAAAATTAGCTGATTGAGATTTTTGTTTTAAATGAAAGCCCTTGTGATTAAATGGGAACTTGCATGGGAAGAAACCATTTTTTATTAAAATACTGGAGGGCTTTCATTGAAAACAACTACCAAACTTTCCTCCTTAAAACCCAAATATTTTAGTTTTGAGCAACTAAAAATCAAAACTCTTACCTATTGAGAACACATACATAATTTTTTTCATTTTTTTAAATTCTAAACCAACCCACAACTGGGCAGGAAGTTTAGGAATATGTGTGTGTGTGTGTGCGCGCACACGTGTTAGCTAAAAGTTGAACCATCACCAGTGACAATTCCAGCTTTCTACATACTTACAGGCACACACAGACAACTCTTCAACATGCACCTGGTAAGATGGGCAAGGGCAGGTGTAATGCTATTAGCTATACATGTTTTTGTAAGATCTTTTTGGTATTCTAATAATACAGGCCTGCCACATGCATGCTATTCTAGTACAGAATACTGGATACATACCGGATACCTACTGAGGTTAGCATTAGGTTTTCGAAAGGAAAAGAATATAAAAACATTCAAAGAACTGCAGCTGACACTATCACACTTTCACTAAATCCCCTTGTCCGACCATGCCCAGCTGTTCCTTGGCTGTATTAGCAAAACCAGTTCTCCTCTGGGAATTTGCCCTACTGCAGATCTCAGGCTAAGCTGCTATAAATAATGTAACTGGTCACAATTTCTTTATTCCAAGAGAGTTGTAAACCATGCACCATACCTCCAACAAGCCCATTTTCCTTCGTTGTCTCCATTTTGACAGTGGATTGATTAGATGCCTTCATCTTTGAGGTATTAATGGATTCCAGGAGGGAGACAAACTCTAGAAAGTTAGATTCGTTGGGCACCTGTCCCTCTTTAGCTTCTAGATCTGATTTAGAAGTTGGTAAGGTCTTTTCTTTGTCAGATACCTCCATGAAATTCTTACTTAAAAGCACATCTGTCCCACTGTCTACACTCAGCACCCGCATATGTCTCTTTTCATGAGCAGTTCTACAGGACTGCGGGTCTAGGTTCTGCAGGTCTTCCTTAGAAGTTAAATCCACGGTCTGCACATTTTCAGAAGCATTATCCTGATTTGGATCTGAACAAGTGTTAGTTTCTAAAGGAGTATTTGCTGGATTGCTGTGTTCCTTCACTGCATCACCCGATTCATAGCCAGAGCAGTGGTTGGACAACAGCTCTGCCTTTAAAATTTCTGGAGTTCTTTCACTTTCACTAACTTCTGGGCAAGCCTTACCTTTACTGTCATCAGACAAGTCAAAAGTGATAACGGGGATTCTGAGCTGTTCATTAGTTTGCCGACTTGGCCAACCTGCTGTAACTACACCAGACTCAAGGGCTGAGCTCGTTCTCTCAGTTCCCAGAGCCTTTAAGTGGACAGAGCCTGCTAGGTCACTGAGGGTGGTGTTTGGTGTAGTACTCATTGTGATGACAATTTTAATGGGTTCACATAGCTGGTCGCCAGGAAGAGAGTTGTCCACAACTGCAACAGCAGTCTCACTGTCTGAGCAGTCAAGGTCCTCATGGGTATCACCAGCATTGCAAGAATTTTCCACGTGCTTGGGATCTTTGGCTGCAATGGCATTGCACTGTGGGCAGTTACTGGTAAAGCCTGCCTGTGGTGATCCATCTGGCAATTTCTCTCTTTTGTAGCTTTTAGGATTACTCAAATGGTCTGAAATAACTGAATTTTCACTGTCCCATGGCTCTGAAGAAACTCCAGTCCTTAAAATATCACCTTGTGATGAAGAAATATTGGAGAAGTTTTTAGCTACATCTCTGTCCACAAGAATATCTTGGGATCCATGCTGTCCACATGGCCGTCCATTCCCTCCTTTTTCATTTATTCCATTACCAGACAGTGTTTCCATAGCAGCTGGTTTCGTCACTATTGCTGATGTGGTGGCACCTGAACCGGAGGCTGTAGAAACAGGTAATGTATCTGCTTTGATACAGGGTGAGGTAGATGAAACGGGTGGTGCAGCCTGGTCTTCTAATACCATAACTCCTAATAAAAAAAACATATGGGAGTTAGGTCTCATGAACATGAACACTGTGCATTATTGAAGTATGATCTTTAGCTAGAAAAATCTGATCCAGAGCAGAGCAAAGGAAGCACAGATGACATAGCCGATTAAAACAGTTCCTAAGCAAGGATCTTTTTTGTTAGCTACATGTGAAATACTATAAAAGCAAGCTGGAATCTTTCCAGGTCAAGACAGGTAATGCAGGATATCTATTTAATTGAAATAGTCGAAATAGCCCAAGAAACAGCTAATATCAAAACTAAAATGTTTTACAGAATTATCTCCACTTAGGGAGAGATGAAAGAACGAATAAGCCAGTGCGGCAGAAGTTTGTTACATCACTGTGCAACTCCTAAATGGTCCCATAGGATATGGCAATCAACCTTAACAAAAAGGAGATAAACTGAAATATATTGAGGCACCTCAAGCACTGGATCCGTAGGCCAAGCAAGCTGTGGCAGCGTATACACTACCAAGCTAAAGGTCAACAATCACAACAGGAGTCTACAGTCAGACGTTTAAGGGCTTTAAGATGCGATCCGAGTGTTGGCTTCCTGGTTTAATGCTTTTCAGAGGCACAGAGCTTCCCAAGAATGTGGAGGGAAGGCTCTTTCATCTCCCAATGTCAAAATGGGGAGAGCTACTTGCGTTCTCACCAAAAGGCTGCAAACCAAACAGCTTGGCTGACAGCTGAGAAATCTTAGTCTGTTAGAATTCCCTTGAGATTTTGTTCTCTTGAGCTTTTTCATTCAGCTCCTTAACATGAGGCACAACAGAACCTGCCATGGAGTCCCCTCTGCCACTTTTTTTTTTTGTGGCCAGCAATGATTAAACAACAGTTTAAATAAAGCCTTTGAGATACCTCTGAGATCTTCAATAGTTTCCCGTGTTGGCAGCTCCTACAAACAAATAGAAACAAATAAAAAGAAACATAGACAATTATCATGGGCATTTATTAAATTCTCTTGGAAAAAGCATCTATCAGTGCAATAGCTATCTAATCAAAGGTTAATTACAGCATTGACAAGTTGCTTAACATCACTGAAATTTGGACATGTACCTTGCACAAAATGCAAGGGGTGGGTGAGGGAGATGGTTACAGAACAGTCATGCTCCAAATTGCATCACTGCAATTGTGTGTGATGCTTGGGGAGGGAGGAACAAAAATCTAAGATTTTTTTTTTAAAAAAAACATTTTGCGGTGCCTAATCCAAACTTTTTTTTTTTTAAATCATTAAGGAATAGAATGTGTTCATCTGTTCCACTTTTCCAGCTATGTGTTTCCAAAGTACTAAAATGAAAAGTTTGGCCTCCAGTACTTTGTAACAATTTCTCAAAGGAAACCTGGAGGACAGAGCCATTAAATCATCATAGAATAATTTAGATTGCAAGGAAGCTTTGGAGGTAATTTAGTCCAAATCCTCTCCTCCATATACACACACTCAAAGCAGGTTCAGTTAGAGCAGGCTGCTCAGGGCCACCTCCAGCAGAGCTTTGAATATCTCCAAAGATGGAGATTTCACAACCTCTCTGGACAACCTCTTCCAGTATTTGACCACCCTCTTGGGTGGGTGGGAGGCAACACACCAAAAAACCACCCAACCCCCCCAAAAAAAACCCAACACAAAACCCCTTTAAATCCCATTGATATAATTGTAGTTTCCCATGGCTACAAGTTGCAGCCACTGTCTCTTATCCTGTCACTGGGCACCTCTGAGTGTGCTCAGTCTTCTCTATATCCTTCCATAGGAAGCTGAAGACAGCAGTAAGCTCTTCTAGTCTTACAAAAGATTTTATCCTTACAAAGGCTAAAACATCCTATCTGCCTGTCCTCATACATCATGTACCTCATTCCTCAATCCCCTTGGTGGTCTCTACTAGACTCTCATCAGCAGGTCAATGTCTGTGGGAACTTACTGGGGAGCTCAAAACTAAACACAATACTCCAGAGGAAATCTTCAAGAGTCTAAATTCAACAGCCTAAGTGCACAACTAGAAAAAAAGTTATTGGCAAAAATTAATGTGGCTCTCTTCTGCTGACAGGCACCAAAACCAAGACGAAATAATTACTATCTCCTAAAATTTCATAGTGGTATCCTGGCAGCAAGAACAGGAGACTAGGTTTGACAAGACCCAACCTACGTATTTAGGAGTGGAAGACTTGGACAAGATCCCAAGAAGAAATGGGTTTGCAGAATGGACAAATACCAGAATACCAGGGACTAGGACAGAAACAAGGTGAAAAATATTTTACCTCAAAGGAGAACTATTGTCTGTGAATCATACAGATGCTACAAAAAGGTAAAAACACTCCAGGAAATGAGGAAATACTTCTGATTCAGACCGGGATTTGAACAGTTTGCAGTAAATAGGGACATGGGGTGGGGGTGGAGGGATATGAAGACAGAATGAAGTATCAAATAGCTACTTATTCCGAGATCACTAACCATTCTCTGCACTGACTGAGGCAGGAGTCCTGTAGAAAAAAATAGCATGGGATCACATAATTAAAGATTTTATCACAGTATACATGGGGAATAGCTTAAGATTACACAGACAGCGTTCATTCTGTTTCTTAATTTTTGGATACCTAACTCTTCAACCTTCTTGAATTAGAAAGCATGGCCAATGGCATGGAATGCATATACATGTATTTTTATCCTCATGTAGACATCTCCTGGATTTAAATAATGTTTTTTGTGCTTTGTTTAAATACTCAAGAGATGTGTTTGGTTCATTTTATAAGCGTAAGTCTAGTTACACAAAACCAAAGTATTAATGCTTCAGGAGCAGATCCCTTCTGAGGCAATGAGAGGCTGCTCTGATTGCATTAGCCTCTCCCTTCTCTCAAAGCAGCCACAAAAACTAGTTGCTCTTGGCCAGATTTACAAATGCCACTTGGTATCTGTAGAGCAGATAGACCCCTCCTAAGAAGTGCAGAATTATGTACACCAGCTTCAGCTTTGCAAACCAAACCTTTAGGACAAGGCTGACCGACAGCAGTGGTATACCTAGTCGACCCACAGAACGACCCTTCCTCCTCAGGGAAGACCTACACTTCAAGTGATCCGTACCTGGTGATACAAAACTCTGTGCGGTAAGCTGTGGACTGCACGAAGTAAAGACACTGTTACAGAAAACCACATACTAACCATTATGCCAGGTGAGTTCTGGGAGTGCAGAGCCTGTACCCTTGAACTGTCATGAATTGTTTGGGTAGAGTCATTTTGGTTGGTCTGACTGATAACATCATTATCCCTGGTGTTATTGCTGAAAAGTAAGCAAAGAAAGAATAAAGCAATGCTTCTTACAGAGGATCACAGTGAGTTTTGCGAAGAAGCTGAGGAATAACAGAATAGGAAGAAGCAGCACAGCACACTGAAGTCACAGCACATTTTTCACCTCCAATGCTAGAAGTACAGGGTTGAAAAATACTGTAACCCCTTTTTGCACCTCCTTCTTCTCCTAGACAACTTGCTAAAAATAAATAAACAAAACTCCCTCAATATAAAATGATTCCAGTGTCTTAGGAGTTAGAGCATTGCTATGAGAAATACAATGACACCTCTTCAAACTCCCTATATGTATATAATGTCCTTCAGCCTGCCTGACACACACACAGATTTATAGGCACAAAAGGCTGTTTGGGGCTTCTCATTAGACATATAACAGTCAAACTTTACTCCTTTCACAATTTTTGCTTTTTACATCCTTTGACTGCACCCTCCTGTACATATTGCTTATCTAACTGCCTGTTTATTTACAAACCTCCCATCAAACAACTATTTGAAATGCAATACATAACATGTATTAATATAATCATTAGACCACAAAATAAAGTTGTTCCTCTGGTTTTAGCCAAGGCAAACATATATCCATTACTAATTTTTTATGTTGCAGGCAACTTGTTGATCACTTCCTTTGTGGATGCATTCAACTACCCACTAACTCTTTTTACACATATTTTCTACCGGCTTTTCCATGGACATAAGCAAGTATTTTTGGACAAGGTTTACTAATGAGAACCAACACATGTTCTGTTTCTTGGGTATAATACAACAAAAATTCAGTTAAAAAAAAAATTCACACTACAGTGAAATGTCAAAAAGTATGGGTTTGGGCTTTTTTGTTTGTTTGTGAGGTTGTTTTTTTTCCCAAAAAGCTTATTTTTAAAACCCTACATCTGTATATAAGCTGTAAAATTATTTACCTGGGGGTCTCAGTCACCTTTCCACATTTTTTTTTTTTGTAGTTAGCTGGCTTCAAAAGCTTGTTCAACCAACCAGCCAACTACCAGGGCCTGTTTAAAAACTTGTCATCCACCTAGTCAAAATACTAAGTTCTTTATTTTCTGATCAAGTACTAAATAACGGACTGTTGTGCCGAGGACCTCCTAGGAGGAATAGTTACGTGATTTAACACACAAGTTCTAAGAGATTCTACCTCTACTTCTTAGCCAAAATAAAGGCAGGATAACAAAAGTTTGCATTCATTTCATTAGCTAGTGAACAGGAAAGCGCTGCGGTTCTGTTTAAATTTCAGCCAGCCTAGAACAACTGATGAGCCCCTTGAATTACTGTATCAGACATCAGTAAATAGGAAATAGCTTTGTGGGCTGGTGAGGACTAAAGAGGAATAGAGCCTGAAAGGCATCACCTAATCTAAAATAAAAACCTCGCAGGGTTAGTGACACATATAAGAGGCATTTCTCAGAAGAGTCTCGATGCAGGCAGACCTTGACACTCCCAGCAATGTCACTGCCAGGAGTATAGCACAGACGTGCATGTGTAAAGACACAGAAGACCAGTAGCATAGATGTACACAATTGTGATACTACTTAGCTTGCACAGAGCTAGCAGTAGCGACTGCAAATGCACCAAAAAAAACCCCAAGGTAAGTTCCTTATACAGAGCTCTCCGTTGCATCTTGATTGGTAGTTGTAACAAACCTACTCAGTTTAAGCTTTGTTTGGACATATCTATGCTGCCGTCACTATTGGATGTACCTTGTTTCAGCATTTTTCACATCTGTCATAATGCTTGGAAATACTTGGAGCCGCTTGCCAGCTTCATTTGTTTGTATGACTCAAGCTTGAAAAAACAGCAAGAGAGGTCTCCATTTATTCTGAAAAGTTTACAGTGGAATATTCTACACATACACAAATCTGGAAAAAGTCAGTACTAGCCTTTAGCCCAATACTATTTTTACCTTTAATACCATCTCAACCTGGAAGCAGCCTTATTGACTTTGATTGTTTCTTTGCAGCAAATACATAGTACTTGGCTTCTCAGTAGAGACGCTGCAAATACCTGCCAAACACCCCTGAAAAATAAAAGCAGTTCTAGCTTTCCTCATGAACAGGACTACAGAAGCATCATAGGCAGTCACACTAAAATGTAAGGGGGAAAAGCAACTAGGTTTGATCTGAGAGGCAAGTTACAATAAGTACCCAAAGGCGACATGAGCTCAGGCTTTTAAAGCCATGATATCAAAGTATTTTCTTTGCCAATGGGTGTGTGCCACTTCCTCCTCTCATCTTCCCAGCAGGAAGAGGAAAGAGCAAGCATTTAAGCAATAACTTCTCCCAGGTTTTCTCCAGGATCTTTTTGCACTTCCCAAACAGGTCTCTTCCTATTGCCTTCATCATGCCCAGCTGCTGCCCCACCCTCTGAACCAGGTGCAGCTCTGCCTGCTTCACCAAAAGCATGCTGCAGCCACTGAAAATACAAGCACTAAGCAGGTTTTTAGAAGTGCCATTCCTCACACAGCTGTAAGGGGTTTTCCTACAGTCAACAGGCATTTCTGCTATGCAGGACCATGGTGCAAACTCATCCATTTTACAGAATGTACCAGCAATGTCCAATGAAAACCTTACCTACGATTTGAGGGCTGAACTGTGTTTCCTTTTGGGACCTCTGCATCTTTACATTGCCTTCCATTTTTTCTTGAGATCTTTTGTTGAATTACTTCGCCTTTATCAAACATAAGGTGTAGACGGTAACTGATCACCTTTATTACTGTGAAGAACACTGTCACCGAGCTGCAGTACACAAAAACTGTAACTGCATTTGCTGGAAAAGCCTACAGAAAGAAATAATAAAGATATAATCATAACAGTTTATTTTGAGAAGATGCTACTACAATTTTTAAAGTAATTTCCAAACTCTTTACTCCTTACTGTCTATTATTTGTACCTCTACTGAGTTTTGCAACCACAAGTAGTGCATCTTCATACAGTATGCTTGAGTTCTGCTCACAAAAAAGGTCTAAGGATTTGCTCAAATTTCAAACCATTTTACAAGATTTATTCTTCTTTTGATTAACTGTGGATATTATTTATTTCTTAACAAAAATCAGTAAAATCTCACAATTGACAAACATTGTAAATCCTCTTAAAATACTACATTCCCAGGATAATGCAGCCGCAGCCTTTCCTAAACTGCGCACTTAGAAAAATACAGACACAAAATGAAACATTAGTTATCTACAAACAGGAAACCCCTTTTGAAAAATTCTGCCAACTTACCCTGCTTCTCAGTTATGATTTAACAGTAAAACACTATAGTTTGATCTCCTTTTTCTAACACTTTACAATATGTTCCCAAGTCTCTTTAGTGTTGAAGAATTTTAAATAATTAATCAGGACTAGTCAAAACAAATGAATAAAATGCATTTGGAGAGGCAGCCTCTTTGAATTCTTTTTCTAAAGTTCATAATTGTTAACTTGCAGCTGTCTGTGATCTGTTTGCTGATCTGTGATGAGCACCATATTTCTTAGTTATTAAAACTAATTACAGTTCAACTACAGTCTGTAAAGTTCTCTCACAGATATGACATACTGACAACATTTTTATATGTAAAAATACTTCCTGACAGAAAAGGGCAAATCATAAAAATGGACACTTGCCATTATAATTGAAGGGGCAAAGCCGTTATCATTAGAGTCACAGAACACCCTTATGTATTGTTGTCACGCAGTTGCAGTCTCACAATGAGTTTAATCTCTTCTCAGGTTTTTGTTTTTTAAAAGAAGCATTACTATATCCCTGCACTATTTGTAGCTGGGGCGGGGGGGGGGGGAAGGAATATTTTCAATGCTCAGGATTTGCTAAAAGCCTACTGAAGTTAATTTTTAAGAACGGTCTTTTCTTTGGGCCTAAATCTATCACTTCATGTATCAGCATTGCAGGTCAAGGAGCATTTGGATGTAAAAGATTAGAAATTTTTTCAGATTCGTAACTAAACCACACTGACCACACAGGTGAAGGCAAGGGAATGAGGCACACTTACTTCATCTCTAAAACAAGTCACCACATTTATGTTGATGTTGAAATGAGTATGTTGAATCATTTCTGTGTTATTACAAGCAAGTGGGTTGGTATTCCACCGCTGCTTTTGGCTTAGTAAGACTTCATACCTTCAAAATGTACATGTGAAAATTTTCAGGCAAATCCTTTTTTATGACTGTTCTGATTCATATGCAAAGAATCTGTTGCACAAAAGTGGAGAAACTATTTAGTATGTAGGTACTACTAATGATCCCTCATAAGAAAGACATTACTTTCTACAAGCTGAGGCTTAGTCTGTTAAGAGTACTTCATGGTACTATGTATACACCAAAAATAAGCATACCCGTCAGTTATTTAGTGAATCCGAGCCAGAAAGAGGATCTGTTTGCAAGGCCGTGCTCTCAGGGTATAAGGTTTGGTGGGTAAGGTTTGGTAAGGTGGCTAAGAATTTGCGTTTTATGACTAATGTATTTGCAAAACACAAGTTAAAAATTGCTTGGTTTCAAGAAGAACGATAGTTATCTGTAATGATTTGTTTAAAAGAGATTTGTTCACTTTCCAAGGAATCTCTTCAACTATACACTAAAAAGCACAGGCTGACTGCTCATTATTAAATACCAACTCAGAATAAGCCACTAGAAAAGAAGTGCTCTATAGGTGGTGTTCATAAAGCTTAATAAATATTATATGAATAATGTCAAGAGGACACAACAAAAATAGACTTCCAGTAGTGCAGTCTATGTATGCATAGAGCACAGTACAAGAGAGAATCAAAGGAAACTCCTAGATTCCTAAGTGGAAAAGAGTGCCAGTTTTAGCAAATGCTGAGTGTTGCATGTCCTCATCCCTGCCTTGTGACCAGACCTACCGGAGCTGCGCCCTGAGCCAGCCTGTGGTCTCCCTGCCCAAAGATATGCAGCGCTTCCCCCCATGTAAGTGCTGTGCATGCTCACAATCCCAAGCCTGCCTACATATAATAAGGCCAGCATGTCCTTGATATGCTGAATCTTGGGGCAAACTAACTAGTACAAGCCAGCAGCTTGCTCCCTGCCCACATGAGGAATTAGGAGAAAGACGAAGCTGAGAATGGAAAGCCCTTGATTTTCTGAATCAGACCTCTTGCATAAGGGTACGAGTGTCATATGACTGCAGTTGGTGTTCCCAGGTACAGATAGATGAAAGCTATCCAGTCTGCTTGAGCTAAGGAAGAATTAAGCTATAGACCACTGAGGAATTATATGATAGATTAACTTTTGATGCACTATAGTTATAATTAGCCTGGTTTCCTATGGAAACAAGGTTTCATAATCACACCATGTGTCTGTGTATTCATCATCACACCTCTCTCTATCCCCTCTGCTGAATAACTTTTTAATTCTTCGGCTACTTTCAGCTAACTTTGAGAGACTACACCCCACTGGGACAAGGTCACAGCAGCACACCTCCTGCATCAACAAGAGGAACCCACACAGCTCTCTGACCTTTTGAATGCCGCCCCAGTGACAGGAAAAGCTTCAACTGAGCTGACATCTTGTTAGAAGCTAGGGAAAAAAAAAAAATCCACAAATACAAATTCATTAGAAAGCAGGCTTCATGACATCCCACAGGTTTCTGTGGAAGCCGTAGCTCTGGCTTTCTTTGCTCTCGCCCAATTAAAAACTCAAACCATAACGTACTTTTTGTTTTCCAGTAGCTTCCGTTGTTATACCCCGCACCAGAACAGCACGGGGTCACAGGCAGAAACACAGGCTGGCGTGTTCCAAATGTGGCCTCACTTACTACTGCAAATGCAACAGGGTTGACCCCTCCCATGCAGGGAGGGCCTTTGCTTGGGGCTTCTGCCCGCCCAGAGATTGCTCCCAGAGGAATGGCCAAACTCTTCTTCACATATCTACTGTTACTTGAGTAGCGCAGAGGTGACTGAGGTATATACTTCCTAATATGGAGGTGTGTAACCTTTGAACAGAATACCACACCTTGTAAATTGGACAGAATGATTAAAGTTGATTAGACCCAGATGTATCCCACCCGAGTACCTGAGGCTCCTAAAGCAAGACAGTGCTGCACCTGAGCCTCACAGTCTTGGCATGCTACAGAACACAAATGAGGGAACTACCAAAGAAATACGCAGTCAGCCACTAGTATCAGGCTTACTGAGGTATGAGTGGGAGATACAATATTGGAGCCAAAAACAAATATTTTGATGTTAATTTAGCTGAATTAATAACTAAGTGATGGCCATCACACAGCATAAAACATGGGAAGACAGGCAGCAAATAAAATTCCAGGGTGTACAATCAGTTGTAAGGGTGCATCCTACCACACAATAAATACAGCAAGAACACTGTAGCTTACCTCTCTTTTTGTGGAGGTCTTATGTAGCCTTACTTTTACAGGGAGATAAAAAGTGGGGTAAAGTGTGGCCAAATGGGACTGGAAGCAGCTGACACACTGCAAGTTACACTTTACCTCCAAGTAATTTACGTGCCCACAACCTTACGCTGCCATGTTGTATTTCTCCTACCACAGCATGATTTGAAGATCTAACACGTAAGAAGTAACACCCCCGTAAGTTCAAGGGCCTCCTGTCCAACAAAAGGCAGAAGAAACACTCACTAAGCCATTTTGGGGACTCACTGAAACGTGGATGAGCATTCTCTTGTGGCTTGTAAAGTAAGTACAGGCATTCCCAAAGTTGCATCTCTGCATCACTGGTGTTTCACTGGGGCTGAATTCAGCCCAGTGACTTTGTATAACAATTAGCACTATTCTCATGCACAAAACACCTGGGAACCCTCGACTGTTTGGTGAAATAAGATAATTTTAATTCTTAATCTATTGTAAGAGTTGACATGGCAAAGTTAGAAGAGATCTCATTACAATTTTGAAAGTTGATTTTACAGCAATGGTGCTCCAAACAGTGTCCAATGTACATTTTTAATTGTATATTTACTACTACAAAGGATAAATGAGAAAGAAAAGGAAAAGATGGAAACACAGATCTGCATTTTCAGGGGTGGGGAAGCTAATAATGGAACCATTAGCACCAAAGTAAGCTATGCTGACAAAGCCAGAGAATTAAATCCTCGATCCACACGACAGGAACAACTTGATACTATGAGCTTCCCGATGCTACTGTCAGCACGTCTCTGCTGAGCCAGTGTAAAAAAATCTAAAAACAGCTGGATGAGTTTTGCCATTTCATTCAAACCAAACTGTTTCAGAAAGACTTTCCAACTTTGACAAGAGTGTGATTAAGATTATCCCAAGCAAAAGAAAATTTTAAAAAGTAGTACTCTGATATGTTTTGACTTTGCCATTTTAAAAAGTGTCAGTGACTGCTTTAGCTAAATCCAAAACTATTGGTGTCAAGTGTGTAATGTAAGTATCACCCCAAACACTACTGAACATAAATAAAATTCCCCAAAGAGGTTCAAGTTTCTAAGCAGCAAGAATGTATGTCTTGCACAAAGTCTACAAAGCCCAACCACTTAAAAGCAAGAAAAGAAATACTTAAGGACATCATTACTCTCAAGCAGCCACCATAATAAATGCATTATTCTTATCAAGGACAAAAAATTCCCATAGCAATACATTAGCAGAACACAAGTCCTGCATTTAACCAGATGATTCATCAGAAGGTCAGCCAGTCTGCAGAAAAAGCAAGTCCATCTAAACAAGCAAAAGATGAAGACCAAGAGAGAGTTCAGTAAATAAGTTATGGTTTTCTCCTTTTCCCTTTAAATAATGTCTTTTTTTAAACTTAGCTCTGACCTACAATCTTTGTATCCAGCATTCTTTTGTGCAACTCTGCATGCCTTCTTCCATGCTACCAGTTCAGAAGTTTCCCACAAAAAAATACGTATTTTTTCAGACACATACTTACATCAACTGGAAAAAAGTTAATCTCTACTTTTTTTTTTTCTTTTTAATCACACATACCACTTTGACAGTCAATCCTACAATGTAAGACTCTTGCTGGTTTGCATAGGAAATAGATCCTATCAATCAGAAGAAAGCATATTGTTATCTTGGTTCCTTAATTCCATGAGCCATGCTTACAGGCATTTACTGCAACCCATGCCACAAAATACAGTATACCAATTGATTTTTGAAAATACATGATTTGTTTTTCACTGGGATTAGAGGGATTCATGACTGCTCTTTGCTTTTGAAAATCAGGCCACTATCTGTCATGTAGGGTGAAGAGACCTATTTAGAAATTTTATCCACCCCCCAAAAAAGTTGTACAGAACTTAGTTAAGAATTTAGTTGAGTCACTGTGAGAACCAAAGGAATAGAAATTGTTTCCAATGGAAGCAATATTAAGCTACAATCACTGAAGAACACACCAAAGAAAAGATGCAATGATCCAGCAAACTGTACTCTTAAGCTTTTCGTGCAGAGTAGGAACACACACAAAAATAGAGCAAAAGCTTCAAGTTCTCAAGGAAAATGATTTTGAAGTCTGGCAAACAAATTCTAGTTATTCAAATTATTTGCGATGTTTAAATTTCAGCACGTAGGGAGCTGCATGTCACGAAAACCCATGTGACTCATCAGTGACATTCAGCAAGGCATGTTTATTATGCGATATTTGGATTTTTCCATTTATTCGCCCTTCTCACCAGGTAAAACTACAGCAGCCTCGGGGGGGTGGGCGTGGGGGAGAGTCTCTAAAAGAGACCTTTTTGAACAAACATCCCCACGACCATCCAGCATTTGCAGAGGCCAGCATCACACCCCTTCCGAAGCAACCCTACCCGACAGCTTCAGCAAGGCGAAGAGGTGCAGGCCCCAGACCAACGCACGCACCCCGTCAACCTTTAGACGCAAAATCCTCACGCAAAACGCAATACACCCATG